AGCGGAGGGGAGAGCAGTGTTTGGGCTGGATGGTGTGTGGCAGGCCTAGACGAAATGCTCGCTGCAGGCCCAGCTGCAGTTAAGTCTTTCCCTCGATCTGCTCTTTTTTTCCTGCCTGTGTCACTTCCTTCCCTTGGCTCACACACGCACCCAGAGCTGAGCTCCGAGCTCCGGCTTTAGCGGCAGTGACACCCCCGGAGTGCTGGGGGGGAGGGGAGCAGGGCTGAGTCTACAGGTTAGGACCAGCTTAAATCCCAAGCTTTGCTTTTTGAATTTGTGGGAGAGAAGAGGTACCCCAAATGGTACATGGATCAGGTTCGAAGAGAAGCTTGGATTCTTCTTTTAAGTCTACAAACCAGGTCGCTTGTGATTTCCTAAAAATGGTGCGGAACAGCCTTATGTTACCACTAAGACTGTCTACGGTGAAGGACTCAAAATTAAACTTTTTCAAACCCTTTTTTTTTCAGAGCCTTAGCATAGACTCCGTTTGTCTTCCTAATTTGTGAAATTTACTCATTGCTGCTGATCTGCTGATCACTGCACAAGCAATCAGCTTTGCTGTTGTGGCGGTAGATAACAAACACACGTTTACTTGTTCACTCTTTTTTTTTTTTTCTTTTTTAAGCAAATGTGGCATCATGTCTTCTATTATCATGCTATATAAAATAGCATCCTGGTTTATAGGGGTTTACAGACTTCCTGTTTTTACCGATGTGTTGATGCTTTTACTCTGTTTGAACTTGGTGATTTTTTTTTCAAAACCGTTTCCATTTCTGCCACAGCAATTACACTGACTTGCTCAGACCTGTGTACTAAACCGCCTATTAGTTGAAATAAATGCTTTATGCAGAGGAATAGCTTTCTCTGTGAGTAGCAGTTCCCTTTTATCGATGTTATAAAAATCCTTGAGTGTAGTTTTTAAAACATGAAAAGCATTTCCTGGACAACATCTTTCCCGCACAAAGCAGAACTGTGTTTCCCAGACCTACTGGAGACCTAGCAAAACAGGGTCTCTCAGTACGCTTCAAAAATTGCCTGGTTTTCATTTGTAAGAACTTCTGCATTGTGTGATTAATGTGATGCTGCTGCACGTGCTTCTTTAAAGTCAATCTATGGAAATCCTCTATTTTGATGGAAATAAAGAAGTATTCATGCTGTCCTAAATGGAAACAGTTTTTTTCCATACACAAGTTTGGATCAATATTTGGCATTCATTTTATGTTTTAAAAAGATAAGTACTCCTTCGCGTCTTACCTTACCAATGTAGGGATAAATTACAGAATGTATGTTTTGGTACTAGGGAGCCGATAGCTTAGTGTAAGACTCTTTAAAAAGAAGTATAACCATGTAAGATTCAAATTCCCCTGAAGTTGTTCCATCAGCCTTTGATAGTACATTAAGTGTTCCTTTTTGCATGGGTGCAAGTAGAGTTCAGCATCAGCACTCATCTACAGAGGAAAGTGAGTTTACAGCGCGTGCGAGACAGACCTCGCAGCGTGCTATCTGGGGTTCGAATGCTGCCCTTAAGAGTTGAATGTCTTCGCGTGTTGTAAATTCATGAGTTGCCTTAGCTAATAAATTCCTATGGAGTTGGGCTACAATCTTTATTAAGAGACACATGAATGGTTAGATGCGCGTCCTCTGCGCTCACTTCCTCGTACGAATGAGATGCTGTAAACCAGCTGGCTTCATACACAGCCTGGGCTTTGGGATCCACCACCTGTAGCCTGTGATTACATCGTAACCGTCGATCCTTATTCTCAAGTGATGTGCCATACTGTTTAGATGCGAATTCTTATTTATAGATGTATTCTTTGATTGACTTGATTTCTTGTCACACGTGCTTAGTTATAAACTGCTTTCATAGCTGTTTCACTTCTTGCCCAAAGGAACTCTGCCAAGACAAGCTCTTCTTCATCCTCCTGGTATCTGGCCAAACCCAAACTGCACTGTAGTGGAAAACTTGCATCCCAGCTCTTCACAGCATGTTTTGGGTGGTAGGCACTCCAGGGATATGCCAGTCCATAATTTGTAATATTTTGTTGTGCAAAGTTACAGTCTTTGTCTGCCAGGTGACTCAAAGGCTATGCTTAATACCAGACAAGATTAAAGAATGAGAGTCAACTGGAGACACTCTAGTAAGGTAGAAGGTTAAACATTCAAATTTAAGGTTGGAAACAGCTTAAAAGAAAAAAAAACCAAAAAAACCCAAGTTGTGCTGTTGGCTACCTGGAACTTTAACTTCATTCACAACTGCTTTTTCACATTTTCCTCCTGCAAGGGGTTACTTAGTGCTGAGATAGATCCCAGCAATTATTTCCTTTGGCTGATCTGCTTTTCAAAAAGCAACCTCTTGCTTTGGTTGTGTTACTTATACCCCTCGCTTCTTTTGCGGGCAGTTGGAATTTCAAGGAGTACTCTCCCTTCTCCACTACCACAATGTAGTTATTGTCTCACTTGGCTTGTCTTGGACAGCACAGATTTGGTGGGTTTTGATTTGGTTGGGGTTTTTTTTTAAAGTAACTTTATTTTCTCTGCTCTGCTTTCCTTTTTTAAGAGTTTTACTCTAATTAACACCTTCTGCTAATGCATTGGGGGATTTCTTTCCATTCCCCTCTATAGTCTGGCCTAGGCTTGATGTTTCTGGTTTTCTGGTAGTATGTCCTGAAACCCGTAGTGAACCCCTGCTCTAGTGTTTAGTGCTCTCCGAAAGCTAAAGCAGACCTTCTGGGCAGGAACTATTGGTTGCACCAAAGATGACGTTAGTGTGACTTCTGTTCCAACCGGCACTTTTTCAGATGTTGCACCCTTAACAAATAAGTATATTTTTCTCCCTTTTTGCTTCTAAATTTTGGTAGCATTCACTCCCTGTGTGCTTTAGAAGCTGTATGTGTCCCACATCTGTTGCCTTCAAGCATTGCAAAAATCTAATTTGTTATTCAGACACTGATTAATTATGAACCCAGTCTTCTGCATAAAACATAAGCTAGCTGCTTTGCGAGACGCTCATGAACAAATGCATAACATGAAATTGAAGAAACAAATAGTCCCGATGAGCCCCTTTTACAGAGAAATACAGATGCGAGACAGTCCGTCATTTAATGTACAGCAGCTGTTTGCAGGACAACACTTCCAAATGCAAGCCGTTACCCATCCAAACCAGTGAATTGACAATGAATGTGTAGGCATGCTGGATATTTAAAATCCAGTTTCAGTTATTTACAAATCAGCTTTAATTCCAACACATCGAAGTGACATCTTTGTGGCCTTTTGGTCTGAAGTAGCACCAGGGCCAGTTTAGGTTGGACATCAGGAAGAATTTCTTTACAGAAAGGGTTGTCATGGATCGAGTCCCCATCCCTGGGGGTATTTAAAAGCCGGGCAGACGAGGTGCTTAGGGCCAGGGTTTAGTAGTGGGATGGCAGGGGTAGGGGAACGGTTGGGCTTGATGAGCTTAAAGGGCTTTTCCAACCTAAACGATTCTATGATTCTGTGAGGAATCTAGCATATCAAGCCCTGCACACCTGATACGCTGTCATATGAGTACGGTTGTGATAACCTCATCTATGCATTACTAGTTCACATCGCTTCCAAAAGTTCCAATTGTCAAAAAAAAAAAAAAAAAAGCTTTACATCCAAAACTGGTGGTCAAGTCCAAATCTTTTAGAAAAGGCAGATTCTTCTCCTGGGCATGTTCAGAGCTGACCTAGTCACTGCTTCAAATTTCATGCCTAAGTTATGCCTCTCGATATCAGAAAGGATTTAACTGGATGTATTATTTGCCAAGGAAACAACACTTTATCCCTAAAAAGTCTTCAGTCTTGATATGTGAGACAATAGCCCCACAATCCGGTAGGCATGAGTGTGCCAATAGCAGATCCTCTGAGCGTAGCATCTGGTGCTGCTTTGTCACGTTGGTGGCACGGCGCCTGGGAGCAAAGTGGTGAGTGCAGTCCTGTTTTTTGAACCAAACTTCACGTGTCAACTTTTTCTACCTTTTGCAGTGTCGAAATTGTTAGGCTTGCAAAAGCAAAGGATTCTTCTTGGTAGATTTTAGACACCTTACTTTGTGCTAGCATCCATCACAGCCCAGCTCCTGTGCATTTCTCTCCTTCTACCTGTTTTTTTTTTTTTCTCTCTAGACTTCATACAAAGTTCTGCTAAATATCACTTCTCTCCGCAAAACTAACAAGCAATGGAAGAACACTTTAAATTGGTTACATCAGGAATCTTGGCTTCAGAAATTAATTTTCAGTCAGTAGTATGTATAAGAAAAATTTCAATGTGTTTTTTTTATTTTCCTGCATTTGCAAGAAGCCTTGAATTGAACCTGCTGCTTTATACTCTGCCAGCAGACAGTGTTCTTAATGCCGTGCAATTTGAATCTGTTCAGATCTTGAAGTCTCATAAAATGGTTTGAACTTTGTTCCATCAGCTTGTTTTGGGGGAAGAGAGGAATGTATTGGGGAAATCAGTGCAAGTGGATTTGTATTCAGAGATATTCTAAGACGACTCTTTGTCCAGATTTTCATTTTTCTTTCTACTGGCCGTGGTTTGTTCCACCAGCAAGCAAGAATTCTAAGTTAACAGGATATAAAATTGGAAAGAACAGATTCTTACCAGGTTTTCCTTGGCAGAAGCACATCAGTTTGCCCTTCCTAAATGACCTATGATGATCTAGGAAATCTGTCCAAGTTGTACTGTTTGTTGCGAAGCCATTTTAACAGAACTAGGGGCAGGGGATATTTATTCTGCACCTTACTATGGCCAGATCCTTTTGTGACATTGGACAAGTGATTTAAAATTTATCCCTCTGTTTACTATACTTCATGATATGAGGTTAATTTGGGCTTTTTTATGACTAAATGAAATTACAGTGTATTTGTAAAGATCCTAAAAAGGAATGTCTTTATGAGCCAGCAGAAAGCAAGTGCGGAAGCGTTACACTTGATACTCATCCAGGCAACTTACTACTACAATTCTTGTGCATCACAGATGAACAAGAGGCCTTGAAATCCATCATGAAGGACCTGGTAGCACTCCAGATGAGCCGACGCCACAGACTGACTGGGTATGATACCATGAAGAATAAAGACACTGCTCACTCCAACAAACAGGTAATAGGCTACTCAGTGAGTACCTGAAATAGCTGCCTGGAGGCAGAAAGGACAGAGTAGGTCGGTGGTGGGTCTGCCACCTGGGCTCTGTCCTGGCTTCTGACTGCTGAAGCATCACAGGCAGATCAGCTCCCCGCTCTCGCTCAGGCTGTGTTGCCACCGTGGTAGCTTTTTTATTTACTTGCCTTTATCGACTAGGGAGGGTACAGTTTTGATAATCTGCAACATCTCGGTATTCTGCCTTCTTGCCAGGCTTGTTTTTTGGTGGGGGTTGGTCTGTGTAGGTTAGCTAAAAAGTTTACTAAGTGCTTTTCTGCTTTCACAGTTACATTACCATTTTTTAAAATTACTTTATTCTTTTTAAAGAAAAAACACAACGCCAGCAGTCCACCCCTCTTGGGCAGCCCTGCAATAACAAACCAGTGTGCCTCTGCAGTGGAAGAAAAAAAAATTCCGGTAAGAAGACTAGCTTCCTATTCAATATTAGCAATTATAAATTAGGAGCCTGTTTTAAAGTTGTGTGCAGTGACCTTTACAGAATTCATTCAAGCAGGTGTGGGAGGCCAGGAAAGCTTTTCTCCACGGACTTGGTCATGATCTAGCAGTATGATGCACTTTCCATTGTAATGGAAAGAATATTTAAATTCAAAGGGGAGCAGGGAACTGAGAAGCATAATGATGAAAAGGAAACAAGTATTTCCATCTCTGATGCAAAAGAAGGCCACTGCAGTTTAAAGCTGCATAAAGCAGCCGGATAATGAACTAATGCCGGTCTCATCTTCATATGATTCGGACTGCATGTGAATACAGAATGAAGATCTTGATTAAAGGTAGTCAAACTGAAGTTGATTCAAGAACAGTGAAGGGGTTTGTCTGAAAAGACTGGCTTTAGTGAAGCTGTAATAAACCTTGCTTCAGTGAAAAAGGAAAGAGCTATTTACAGGTGTGTGACTAGAGGCAGCATCCTTAACAGCCAGAACAGGGAGGGTTGTGTGGAGTTGCCCAGTCATATGTCACATGAAGGTGGGAATGAAACTAACCCTTATTTGGGGATGGGGATGTGAAGTTCATTTTCTAAAAGAAATACTTTTCCTAAGGTAATAAGTGGCAGGGTCAATGCTTTAAAACATCTCTAGGTTAATTTTACATCACTAGAGACTTTTTTTTTTTTAGAGAAAACTATTGTGTTGACTTTGTGGTAGAAAGAGGGTACAGAATAACATTGCTCTGTCAGTATGTGCTGCATATCATTTCAATTAAATACTTGAATGCAAAATAACAATTTCAGTCAAGAATTCTTCGTCCATTGCTGTCTTAAAAAATAAAATCGAGTTACTTACAGTTAGACTAATGTTAACAGGAGAAGTTGCCTATATCAGTAAAATAACTCTTTCCAGTTATATCCTTATTATAGGCTTAAGCTTTTTGGAGCAGGCTTTAAAGTTCATGTCCGTCTCTCCCTTATGCTTTGTCTGCTCATAATCTCCTTGTTCAGCTGGGATATGAGATTTCCTTGAATGTGCTGGACAAATCCGTAGATGGAGTAGTACAAAATCCTTGCAAATCACTTTGAAACGTAAATTCAGAGATGTCTTAAATCAAAATCTGTAACTATTACTGATGACACTGCATCACAAAACTGGAACGCTAAAGCATCAACCTTGGATTTGCTTTGTTACTCATCTCTCTGGACAGTTCATGTGAGTTGCTTTAAAAAGAGGTTTATATAGGTGATAGGTTCACTGCTTTGAAAGGAAACAAAAAGCACTGGACGTTTAACTCCTCTAGGTTCTGTCTGAAATTTAAACACTAAGATCACTTTCAATACCTTTCCTTAGATCTTTGCAAAATAGAACAAATGGCCAGTGTCTGATCCTTTTGGAAAAATCATCAGGAGATAGAAGATGGATGCCAAATCCACACACCCCCCCCTTCCCTTTCTTACAAATCACAGTTTTGAAAGCATGTCATGGTGTTGAGGAAGACGCTTCAGTTTGCTTAGGTACCAGTAAGTTGAAGAAAGGTTTCCAGAGAGCCCTGAACATCTTTTAGTGTTGTCTAATTTTAACTAGTGAGAGCTTTGTCACTGAGCTGTTGCATGACCTAAAACACATCTTGAGGTCAGAAATTTAATCTGAAAAATTGCTTTCATTCACTTTAATCCAAAGAGTCCTGTTTAGTTCCCTTAGACTGGGCTACTTAGAACAGTGTAGCTTTCCTTCCCTGAATATCCCTAATATAAAGGGATCATTCCTCCATTCGTTATGCCTAAGAAACAACTGTTTCGTCAGTATTTGGCTGGTGGACATCTTTTATATTCCTATGCTGTTTGTTGCATTTTTCCTTTACTGCTCAATTGAAATAAGTTCTCTAGAATTTGCTTCATTTTGGTGCCATTCTAGAGTAAGTTCTTTCTCTTCCCGCACCTGAGAAAACATCTTTGGTAAAGTTATGTGTAAATCACCCACCTGTGGGTGATTGTTGCTCTGATTGGGAAGCTCATTTGTCATGATCAATGCTGTACCTATGGTATTGCTGCAGGAATACTGTGTACTCGCAGTGATTGCATGGGTCCCTTTGAACTGCATTCTTGACCACTAGGCCTGCCAGATACTTCCTCTAGCTAAGGAGCATTTCCTGGCCACATTTTTTTGAAGTTCCTAGATGTATGATTGCCTATTGTCTAAAGCTTTCACAGATGGCTTAATCTACTCCAATCACATAAATTGTGCAGCAGAAATTATGGAGTCTTATCAGAGCAGATTTTTCCCTTTTATTTTTATCTTTGTGACCTAAATTGGGATTTGAACTTTGATCTCCAGAGTTGAAAGTTCAGCATGTTGACTCTTCCGTGCCACAGAACATCTTCTGAGTTTACACTGAAATGCACAGGTTGTGGGGTCAGTGCTTTTAACCATCTGCCAGATATGGATGATGACCCCTTTGCACTTTAAAAGATGGCACGCAGTTAACTTGTTTGGAACGTCGTAGTCTGAGTTTCAGGGGCTGCAGTTTTGCAAAAGCAGAGATTTAGTCTGCGTTTTAAGAATAAAGGGTGTAGCACATTCCCTGTATCTCTCTACTCTTTGCCATAGAAGAAAACATGCTTAACATGCTTGCTTTGAGACTGCACAAAGGAAATTACCTTCAGCTCAGACAAATATGCGCTTGGGCTCAATTTCAGATTTTTGCCATGCAGTGTTAAAGACGGATTAATTTTCCTTATAGTTCAAGTATATTTCGGTGTCCTCTGTTTGAGTGGCAATTAGTGAAAAATACAACTTAGTTCTTACCCTTTTCCTTCTCTTTCTCCTTTAGCAATTTCTCCATTCCTCATGGTGCTGTGTTCATGCATCAGCCACTTGTTGTCCACTGTCTGCTTCAGCCTCCCTGGGGAAAGTTATCAGACTTTTTGTGTTGTGGTTAGCCTTTTGAGGAGTTGATCACAAATTGACCTGCTTTGTGTTTGGGCCTTAAAATCATTACATGATCCGTTTGTGTGCTTTTCTGTATGCCAGAGTTTCATCCTGAACTAACCTTTTGGAATTTCTTCTGCAGAATGATGTAAGGATAAAGTTTGAACATAATGGGGAAAGACGGTAAGTCTGTCTTCACTACTTTGATTCTTTGCCTAGTAGAATAATTTAGTCGTTAATCATTTAGGTTAAATGTTTTGTTGGCTTCACTTTCCTTGTTCCTGAATGAAAAACACACAGTAAAGGCAACAGCAAGCAGGTCATACACAACTTGGTTATTTTTAAAAATCAGTGTGTCATAAAACACTTGGATTTATTTTCACAGTATCTATTTGCAAGTGAATTGCAGTAATATTAAAAAAGCTGTCCAGCCTGAAATAAATTCAGCCGATAGTCTTATTTCAGATATGTTCCCTATCTGTTTCATTTAACTAAAACCAAATGAAACTGATCGCATTAGTGTCATTCTTTTCTAGTTTCTCACTTCCTGATGACCTATCACTATCACTGTCCTGCTGTGACTGAGCAACAGATAGAACAAGGGAAGATTTTTTTTCATTGGTCTAAAAGTTTCCTTGTTATTTCCTCTGATGCTTAGTTTTGAGACACTTTCTTTTACAAAACCCCAAAATTAACTGAATTGGCATTTTCTGCCTTTACAGTATTGTTTCCAATGGATAAAATTGCCTAGACATTTCAAAGTAGGTCTCAAAAAGCCCCTTACCTACCATCTAATCGAGAGGAGCTCTCGATACTGTTATGGCTCTTTGGTGGCTGTGTGTGAATATACAGAAAGGCTCCAGACTTGTTGCAGCCTTTCAGAGGCTGCTGTTAAGCTCTTGCTGAGGGGGAAAAGGGATCTTGATGCTAGGTTCTAATTTCCTTTTTCTGAAGAAATTAATTGGACTGTAAGAATGAATTTATATGCTCCTCTTCACAGACATCCTATGGGAATCCTTTGGTTTCTCCCATCCCAGACAGTACTTTCAAACATGAAGTAGTGCACGCTTTCATGATAAAATGCGAATTTCACGTTGACAGTACAACAGTGCAAGTTGTATGTAGTGATCCTAACAGCCTGTTACTAGCAAAGGTTACTGGCTGAGCTGCTTAAGCTCCTCCTCAAGTATTCTCCTTTGTCAAATTAAAGGATTTTTGTTAAAACAGAAAGGCAGAGGCATTCTTTGTTGATAAAGCAGATGGCAGAGGATAATTTGTAAAGTCTTCCTCAAAAATTGAACTGTTTCATTCACCAAAGTACTACATGGTGAATTTGGTCACTAAAAAAACCTGACTTTTTGGCCTCGAGGGGAAAATTTAAAAGTAATCGTAGCTGGGATCTGCTGATGCCTTTGTCAGCCAGATCTTCTCAGTGCTCTACTGTGTCACAGGCATTGTGTGGACTACAGGAGAGCCACTGTGTGAGGTGTCACAATATCTTGTGATACTGTGTTAGGACAAGGTAACTCGGAAGCAAAATCTTGTCACCACAGTCCTATCATCTTGTAGGTCTTCTGCCTGAGTGCATTTAAGATGGCACAGAGCTCAGGGGAGAAGAAAGGGTTTTTTTCTGAAGTAACATTAAAATGAAAAGGTTGATTGTGTGTTAGTCTAATTATGCAGTTACGCTCGCCTGAATTCCCCATTCCCAAAGTGGTATGCAGTTACAGACAGCAAGCTTGCACCGAGAATGTAAGTGTGTGTGCTTGGTTTCTGAGGAGCTGCCAGATCTAACCACAAATATTTAAGGTGGTCAGGCAGGAATGGGCTCCTTAAACCCTGCAGTCCATGGTTTTGTGTTAGAAGAGTGCACGGAGTTTTTAAACTAATAGAATTTGTGGCACCTGAGAACAGCTCTGCTTTTTAATGCATTGAGTGTAGAATGGAAGCCTTTATAAGGGACTTCGGCTCAACTGAGAGCTAAATTACGTTTGTATGGTGCCAGAGTACTATAATTTCATGGACGGGTTTCTTAGTAATATGTAGAAAATGTTATTGTGGGCTGCTTTTTAACAAGAACAATTATTTCTAAATAGCTGAATGTTGTAGGTCTGGTAACAAGATGAACCCTTCCTGGGAAGGGGCTAAGGAAGCCAACTGACACTAGAGCTATTTACAACAAAAGCTGTGTATCGTGAAAGGCTACTGAGTGCTGGCGAAGCAGGCTGGATGGACATTTTGGAAACTAAGCCCTCTCTCCAAAGCACGGGTTCAAAACGAATTCGTGTGAGCTTCCCCAGAGGTGATTTGGGGTTTCACTGGGCTCGGAGAGCTGCCCCTGTGAGCAAGGACAGGTCTTGAGTTTCTGTGGTCCGTTCAGGTCTTCCAATTTCTGCCTGATGGCAAAATTGTTAAGTGGTGCTAATAATCAAGCTTTTGGGGGCAGTATTTCAGCTGTGCCAAAGCAGAGTCGTTTCAAGATGCAGCGGCGCGGTAAGCAGCTATCGCAGTCTAAGAGGTTTCAGAACGATGGTGGCTGTCAGCTGCGTCCCGGAGCTGTTTGTTTAACTTGCCGGTAGTGGAGGCGCAGTGTGGTCTCGTGGCCCGTGGAAGCAGATGGTGAGAAGTCTAGTTGCAGGAGCCCGAAGGCAGGAACAACCAACCATCTGGGCCTTGTGCAGCAGAGAGATGAAAAGTGGGTTTCGGAGCAGTTAGACGTCCTTGGTTTGCTGGAATAGTGGGTTGTAAACTGTAGTTCACATTTGAATCTGCAGTTCTTGACCCGGGATATTTTACTCACTGATTCTTCTGAAGAGGGTGAAAATCATCCTTTTCCATGGCTGTCAAGGTAGCGACTTTCCGAGTACTTGGCAACTTCCTACAGAAGAACGTTGCACCAAAATAAACAGTTTTAGATGCTTTGCTGGAACTTCACATTACTGCTTTGCCTAAAGCATTAGAGTTTCTATTCCAAGGTAGGCAAAACAGTAATGAAACCAAAGAAAAACTATACAGTAATTTTCTGAAAAGCATTCATGTGCCACAGGATTCTGCAGGGTTCCCCGAGGATGGCTGTGCCTGTTGCCATTTTGGATTTCTTGAGGCCATTTGTGTGTGTGAGTCTAAAGCTCCTGCCATTCAGCTGGCAAGGAAACGGCTGAACTGGGGGTTTAGTGTGTCGCAGGGTCTGGGCTCAGGGAAAGCGATCTGAATAATTTACAGTTATGCACTTTTTGTGTGTCAGTTGGTGAAGGTGCCCAGAGATGCATTACATATGGAAAATACCCGTGAGGGAGAAAGCATGAGAGTATGAGACTGATCTATCTTATATGCATATTCTGTCTTAGATATCTGTCTTACATAAATATTCTGAATAATTGCAAGTCAGCTTTGCCACTGCTATTACAGCTGAAACAGTATTTAAGTTTTGATCTACTTGGCCTCTGTAATTAAAAAAAAAAAAGCTCTTTTTTTAAATAAAGCAAGCTGGGAGTGACAAATGGTTGCGCAGTTACAGTTAGATTTGACTTCAACTTTTTGAGAAAAAGCCCCTGCTGTGTTGTGCAGGATTTGAAGGGTGACTGCAGAGGCAGTGTAGTGAGTCTGTGATTCAGAGGTTTGGAGATGTTTAAGTTGAGTGTGCAGAGGGCAAACATGGAGCTAACGTCACAGACCACCTTCGGGAAAGAGGGTTTTCGGATTCCTTTGTGTCCTCCTGCTGATGCCTTCCCTCAGGAGTTCAGGACTGACTTTGCTGTGGGAATGTTTGTTGAAAACTTTCAACTGGAACGCGTTTGAGAAATTTTTAGGGAGTGAGTTTTGAGTTCCGATATTGGAGTACTTTTCTGTTCTTTGGGCCTTCCGCAGCTTTTAATTCAACTCTCACTGAATGTATTTGTTTGGGTTTTGTGCCTGAGGAAGTATTCTTTAAGCCAAAATGCATAGGAGATCTGCCTCCTGTTACGTGGAAAAAATTTATTCAGTAAAGGATACTTTTCTCTTCAGAGACAAAGAATTGAAATCTTCAGTTGAATATTGCATTTTGACAGACCATTTGGAAATGGACCAGAGGTCAAGAGTTCCTTGGTAAAATAATTAATATGAATTCAGATTAGAAGGGTTCACTTACCTGCTTGAGGATGAAAAGAGAACATTCAAATGTGTTTTTAATGGTTCATCCAGCCATCTAATTTGATTGCATTGTTGAGTATATCTCTGAATTCAATCGGTGATTCTCTTTCATTCCAGAATTATCCCATTTGTCCGTCCCGTGCGCTATGAAGATGTGCAACAGAAAGTGAAAACAGCCTTTGGCCAGCCACTGGATCTCCACTACATGAACAATGAGGTACAGGGTGTTGTTATCAGTGCTTAGAACATGTAACACTCCTCTGGATGACACCTCCCTTCCCATCCCAAATTCTGTACCCTTAAATTTAATTTTCTTCCCTCTAATGCAAACCATAGTTGAATCACATCAGCATCTTGCTTCCTTGTACTGGCATTGTTTGGGACACTCTCTTGGGGAGGTAAAAAAAGGTATTTGAAGTATTTTGACTGTTGAAAGCAACTATTGCAGGCCAATATATATACAGTCTGAGGACTGCGGGCAGTCCTGGAGTAATTTCTTCAGCTGCCTGATAGCAGAGTCAGAATTGTTTGTGTTGTGTGACTGCTGACTAGCAACAGCCATCACAACGCTTTCTGCTTATTGCCCAGCTATTAGGGGAAGGAGAGGAGTTGGAGAACGGGGAGGCTCTCTGGAATGAGATGCTGCAGGGGCTGTGGGCACTGTCATTGGTAAAAGAAGGTGACATGGGGAATACCATTTGTCTCTGAGGAATTGGGTAGTCCATGTTAATGATCTAAAGTATTTTGTTGGCTTTCTCCCTCTGGACACCCTGGCTTTTCCTTGGTATTTTTGTTGTGGTGGTGCCCTCCCACCATTTGGGACTGCGTCTCTAACAAGAGAGATACAAAAGCCTGTTCACCAGTAGGAGTTGGACAAAATGAGAGGGGTTCTTCAGTGTTAATAACATTCATGTTTTGAATTGTGAGTGGGCTTGTAGAATAGAGGGTGTCAGAGCATAATTTCATGGGGTATTACTAGCAAGTTTTAAATTCTTCTTTGATTCTGTCTTGCAAAGTCTTAACTTCTTAATACTATTCTCTATCTGAAACCCAATTTTCACTTGATCGTTAGGTGTGGATTCGTAAGTATTCCGAGACAATGTTCTCATCAGGGAGTCAGGGGCCTGTCTCTGACATGTTCTTTGCAAACAACAAATTCAAGTAGCAGTTAATATTTTTGTGGATGGTGCCTTAGAGAAATTTGCACAGGGTCAGCCAATGCTCTCATGGCGTGGGAGGAAAACCTTGTTGAAAAGGACAGTAAGACCATATTTTAATGAAAAATTCTGGAATAATGGTGGAATATAATATCTTTATTAAATTAAATACCTATTGTGGAAGTAGTCTTTTCTAATGATTTTCTCCCTGTTCTTTATTTTGCAGCTATCTATTCCTTTGAAAAATCAAGATGACCTGGATAAAGCAGTAGATCTCTTAGACCGAAGCTCTAATGTGAAAAGCCTTAGAATATTATTGCTGTCTCAGGACAGAAACCATGTAGGTAACAACTTCTGTATCTGCAGCGAAATGAAGGTTTTTACCCTTAAGTCTCTGAAACATGAGGGTAGCCCTATATAAGAGTAACAGGGATTAGTAAAATCACTCTTCACAAAGATACAAATGCATATGTTTATCCTCTGTACTTTGGCTAGGTATAGCTATATCTTTTCTTTTTTTTTTTTTTTTTTTTCTTCCTGGCTCCAGCAACTGTTCAGGGACTAAAACATTACGGCTTTTTAAGCTGTAATATGAAGGCCATTTTATATCAAGTACCCAAGTATTCAGAAAACATTTAATGAGTTTGGTTCGCAGAGAACTTTTTTTACCTTTGATTAATAGCACAGCGTTGAAAGTGCGTGTAATTGTCTTGCCTTTAAGAAAGCACAGGTTGTCCTTGAAGACAAGCTATTAGCAATTTTTTCCTGGGTGAGAAGCCTGAGGACAGTCCCCAGTGATTTTTCATTTCTGTAGCCTAATGCATTGAATCCAGCCTTACTCTGCAGAAACTAAGTTGCTTTTAGCTAATAATGGTGTGTTCACACCTAAGATAAATTTGATTGTGTCTTAGTTCACTTTCCTATACCACAGGCAACTGTGGCAGTGAGTGTCAATGTTTGCACTTCTCAGGAGAAAAAATCATACCATGAGAAGTATGTCTCTCAGTCAAGCTCCCAAAGCTGCCAGGTTTGGACAGTGAATTGAACTGCAAGCTGAAGAGGGCAAAAAGAGTCAGAAGTTGCCCTTACACCTGATCTGTGAACTTTGTTCACTCAACCGATTTCTGTTTCAGAATTAAGGTGATGTAGGTTTTCAAGCCAAAGACCTCAATAGCTTAGATATTTTATTTGCAAATTACCAAATTCTCTTCAAGGGTGTGACACAAAAAGCTACTCTGTCTTGAAAGCTCTGTTGGTAATAGCCTGTCAATCTTGAATGTTCTTCCCTATTCAAGTTCTGCAGGCTGTGAGCTCAGACTCTTGAAATAATCACACCTGCAATTCTTGGAACTGTCAGGAGAACTTAGATATACTTCTCCTATTTTTGATTTTGATAATCCATGTTAATACAAGTACAAAGACCTTCAGGAGTGTTAACAGCCTTTCCCAAATGACTGGATGCCAAAAGCTGGAAAGGTGTAGGAGGGGATGATGCTGTTTCTTGTCCTATGCCCTTTCCCGAAGCGTTTGTTACTGGCCATTCTGAAGACAATACTTGGCAAGGCGGCCTTTGGTCTGACCTAGCGTAGTCAGACTTTGTTCTGTGTTGTCAGGAAATAGTCTGTAAAAGGTGGCCTCAACTTTTGGTGTAACAGTAAAACAATCCTCTTTTACAGCCCTCTATTAATTTTGGTGTCTTCAGACTGCAAATCAGATGTTAAATGACACTATCTAAACTTTACATAAGCCACCTACAGTAAACACGTAGTAAATCCCATCCCTACACCAACCAGTAGCCAGTACTGTGGTGTTGTCCTTTTATTAGCTGTTTTTTCCTCTTTTGCTCAAAGCAGAAACAAACAGCGAAGTCTTCAGTAAGTGCCACTGTTTCCCCCCTCTCCTCCGACTTCCTCTTCAGCTCTGAGTTGCCTGGCAGGAGAGTCCTACATGTGATAAAGCAAAAGCCCACAAGTCTGAAGGAGGTTTCTTGGCTGCATGATCTCATCCCACTGAGGGAGCGGGAAGCATTATTTTTCCTGAAGTACAGGATGCAGATTTTGTTTTGGTTGTACTCTTTTCTTTTTCTGGGGATGGAAAGGTAACGCCGTGACTTTGGCACAAATATGTATATAAACCAAATTAACTTTACAGCAGTAGCTGTGTGACTGGTGCTGAGAGCCTGTGTTTGTGCATAGCGTTTATATTAATTTTCTTGTGCCTCTTTCTGTGGCTCATCTGTGCTTACTTTTCTCAAGCAACTCACTTCTGTTGTCAGTCTTTTTGTGTTCAGAAACTAATGGGAAGAACTGGTTAAGTTGAACACCTAGAGTACTACAGTCAGCCTGTCCTCATGAATGGGGTGACCTCTGCACCCTTTATTCAGCTCGGGTGAATCTGTTCATGGTAGAGTTTATGTAATTTAAATCAGGCTCCCTCCTTACTCTGGGCAAGGGTAAGTGCCTATTAAATGAACAGCTATTCTTTACCTTTTTGGCTGTGTGTCCTCACACCTTGCTTGCCAGTCATATTCAAATAATTTTCGGAAGACAGAGTTAATTTCCTTGGGGTCTCTTTGGTTATGTTCATACCAATAAAATAAGTGCTTTACAAGCATTAGTTACATTCTGTAACACACAGGAGGAAGGGACAATTATATCCTCTTGTAAAACTGGGTACTTTGGGACAAGAAGATTAAAATTGAAAGTGTCCACTAGTATTGAGCACCTGCTTTGACACGTGTAGGATCTCATTTGCTTGGGGGAGGTTGGAAGTTCACGCTATTTCGTATGTTCAGACCTTAGCGCACCATCCTCAGATCGTTGGTGTCCTGTTCAGCCCTGTGTTAAGAGCCCGTGTTCCCTGTATCATCCATGGAAAGAGCACAGAAGTGTTATCTGCCTGAAGCTGCAGTCTAAATTTTCCCAAGCAAGCACCCTGTGGAGTCTGAAGTGGCCTTGCAGTTTCTCGTGGCAGAGGAGGAGGGCAACAGTTCTCCTGGGCAGCATCCTACTGCCCTAAATTGCAAAAACATCCTGCAGTTCCTCTTCCTACAAAGCATGCTGGACTTACCCCTTCCATCTTTCTCAACAAAGTGGGGAGAAGTCCTTTGACATGTCTCCTCTCATTCCCCTTCCTGCTTCGAGTGAGATGAAGGCATCTGTGAAATGAAGGCACTGTGGAAAAATGATCTTTAATTAGATTATGTAAGTTCAGGGAAGGATGAATAAAAGCAACACAGGCAGCATTCATCTTGGCATCTCCAAACTCTTTGTGCTCTTAAATTCTCCAAAATTTATTTTCATTTAGACAGTCTGAATTGTCGGGTTTACTTTTTAAAGATTGTGGGGAGTCAAGTTGCTATCTAACTGCTTTGGAAAGAGCGCAAGATTTGTAATTTGTCTCTGCTGGCCACGATGGCTGATAGAAATTGCAGGTTCTGCCATGGGCTGGTCTCGGTGAGTGGTAAGAGCCCCTCTGTGTTGGTTTCATGGGTAGCTGCTAATGGAAGACGAACATTGAGACTTGTAAATCCTGCATTCGATTGGAGGCTGAAGGGTAGCATGCTCTAGTTGTTCGATTCCTGTTTTACACTATAATTGTAAAGCTTGCTCTTTTGCTGCCTTTATCATTTGCGTTCTGTGAAGCTAATAAGATCGCAGGCTCTAGAGCTGTTTCTCAGCTACTTTCTTGCTACTAAACGTAATGATATTTTTGAAACTGTGGCCAGACTTCTTGAGCTCCTCAGTCTCATTTTTTGTTGTTTTTTTTAATTTTTTTATTTTATTTTATTTTACCCAACAGACCAGTTCTTCGCCCCATTCTGGACTGCCCAAACAAGTCAGAATTAAAACTTCCCAATCTGTGGGGGATGTGAACACACCCTATCAGCAGCCAGAACCCAGAAGTAGGCATCTGTCTGTCAGTGAGTATTTTTGGCACTTCTGCTTGTCTTTATTTTGTGAAACATATCTTTTGGGCACTAGTGCTTATGGTATAGTGTTTATGAGAGCCGTGAGAAACTGAAAGGTTATTCTAGGACAAGGCAGTTGGTTTTCAAAAGCCCTTAATATGTTTACAATAGAATGTTTCAAAGTTCCTTACTGAGCTGTTGACCAGCTGAGGAGCTGCTAAAAGGGATGTCCTAAAGCCAGATTCATTGAGGTTAGAAATTTGGAGAGCTTATGTGAGTCCATTAAGCTTTTTATTTAGGTTGGCAATTTCAGTTCATGAAACCTTGATGTGATTCTTTTTTTTTTTTTTTTTTTTTTTTTCCCCCCCCCCCCCGGTTATGTTGGGCTTTGGAATCTGTCCTCACTCCTCTAATCAAGCATTTTACTGGTAGCCCAGGAATTGCCACTGCATATCTAACCAGTGCCCTGCGAACTGAGTTCCCTAACCTTTCACTGTCGTAATTAACCAGATGAGTAGAGCACAAGGCTAATATCATAGGTGACTGGCACAGCTGCACAAAAGATAAAAGTCACAGTAACTGCACTTTTTGTCTCGTTTCCTTTGTGTTTCTGTCAGCTTAGTGAACTCTTGTGTAGTGAAAGGACTCCTGTAATTTTTATCACTTCTATCTCTGGTAGATTTTTCTGAGTCATCCCAATTTCTGTGTTATAACCCCCTGTATAACTATGCAGTCCTATTCAGAACTGTGGTTGAAGGATGCTCAGAGCTGTTAACATTTTATATGAAAAACTGAAACATCTGAAACTGCTTCAAAGACTTTTGGATCCAAAAAAAAAAAAAAAAAAAAAGTCTGTGGTTTAGAATCTGGCTCCTTAATGTGAAGTTCAAGGGAGCATTGAAAGAGCAGAAAGAAGGTGAGCAATAATAGGGATCTGCAGGATGAAGGCTGAAGCCTAAGATGGTGTTCTGTGTAAATGACTTTTGATTTAGAAGTGAGAAAAGCTAAATTTTGCTGGAAACAGAAGCAGAGAATGGCTGTGTTTGTTACAGCAGCTATTTTAGGGCTTGTCAGACCTAATGCTTCAGCTGACAGGTGCTGCACATCACGAGGGCAGTTCCAGGAGCTGGGAATGTCAGAGTTGTTTTCTTTCCAAGTTCTAAACCAGCTCCCTCTGTGGAAGAGGAGTGCTTCAGTTTCGGTAACTGTAAACTTGAGGCATAATCATCACAGGATTTTAGATCAGTATTTGCAATGCGATCTAAGTGTCAAATAATAAATTCAATTAAACTAGACCAGACAGTCTCCACATTGGGGGGTCTAAACCGGAGTCAGATCCACGCTGTTCTGACCACAGGTAATTGGGAGAGTAAGCTCAGTAGAGAAGGACTGGAGAACTAGACCGGTAGTTCTCAATACCAGACTTTCCTAGCAAACCTGTTTGTATCCTCTCCAGAGTCTGCTGATCCCCTTTTGTATAGTTTGCTTTTATGAAGTAGCAAACAAACAAAGAAGTGAAGTACGTGACTGAAACTGGGACAAAAAGAGTTTTCCCATCCTTTCTAGTTTGAAGTTTATATGCATAAAAAGAGTAACATTCCTTGGTCCTATGAAGGAGGCAGCGGTATCCATGCACGTCTGAACACCACATTTCTTTTTTCACAGACAAATTCAATGCCAGCAATATTTTATTTAAAAAAAATGTCTTTCTCCTTTATTGGCATTCTAAGGTATCCAAATAATAGTGCCAAAGCTAACAGACTGTACTGAGTGTCTGTCATGGGTAAACTGTATAGTAATAAGGGGCCCCTTCTGTATCCCGGTTGTACAGACTCTTTCCTCTTATCCCAGCTTATGGACGCTTTCTGATTAGCCGGTCGTTCATCAATCAAGAAAGTGTTGGTTTTATTTTCTGAACATGTCGAAGTACCAGACTGTTAAATTATTAAGAGGTCCAGAAGAGTTCCAGTTCTGTCAGAGGTCTGATGGTAATTAGGCAATAGCTCAGTCTTGAATCAATTCTTTCTTCCTTCTCTTCTCCTATCTTTGATTTGGAAAAAGAATGTACCCGTTTCCTAGAATTTCAGGCATACAGACTTTCCTATTCATACCACGTCATGCAACGAAAGTCAAAAGCAGCGTTCAACAAAAGTTGTTTGCATGCAGGAGATCTATCTGTGTAGTTCTTGTCTGCCAAAGTGGAGAGGCCTCAAGCCTGCTGTCACCAATTCAGAGGTTTGGAAGTAAAGATAAGTTTTATTTAAAAAAAAAAAAAAAAAAAAAAAAGTTGCTAAGCATTCTGGCAGGACTTGTGTTTTTTCCACTCACTTCCTTTGATATACATTGATTTAGTGCCGACTTCCTTTTCCTGCCCAGTGATGGTGGCCTTTCCACAATAGCAGCTGGGCCGATGCCAGCAGGACTTGGGCTCCCTTTGGCCAGCCATGGCATTGTATCGGAAAGGCGAAAGTGTGCTCCCGTGACTCAGTGCAGCCCTAACTCACGCTCTCTTGTTTATCTCCACGCCAGTTGGCTTGTAGTGTCACGTGAGCCCTGCAGAGCTACTTGGAAAATCAGGTGGTGGCTCTAAGCAATAGATTTTTATTTATTTTTGCATGTGGTTCACCCCCCCAATGTACGGTAAGCCATGCCAGTGGTGGGGTGTTTTTTTCTTCCTTCTGCAGTCCTCTGAAAAGTGTGTGCACTGGTTTTCAGCTAGCTTCTGCCGACGTTTGCCTTCACTCTTTATTACAATAACTTCTGTAGTAAATATTTTCCTTGGGAGAGTATTTGCTGATCTTCACCCATCTTTCGTAGCACCTGAGTACACACAGTTAATTAGAGACAGCATGGTAAAGAGCACAGCTTGAGAAGCTGATCTTAAAAACCCTGTCTCTGACTTCATGGGTGACCTTAAATGGGTTGGCTGGACCACAGCATTTCTCAGAGCTCACAGTTTGACTTGGTGGGAGCTGTAGGTGGATACATCACTGCAAAAAGGGGATTTTGATCTTCCTCTTTCTAAACTATCATCTTCAAGATCTGCAAGGAAAAAAGAAAATCCTAGGGGTGAAGTTTTGCTCAATAGGTAGCACAACAGAAACTTCAGGTAGTACCATTAACAGATGAGTAAAATGTTTTTCTTATCCTTTGGCCCCTAAACATACTCTCTGTCCATCTAGCTATCTCATCTAATTAACAGAAACTGCAGAATTGACCTCCATGTGTTTTTGCCCAAACTAGTCATAGAGTTTCATTTTTCACACAGTAAACCAGAAATTTGGGGTTATTTACAAAGGTAACAGTGCTCCCATGTGATATTGGAATTGCTCAGTGTCAGTATAATTAGTTCAGCTGATGATGACTAGCAGGGATAGTGCTGTCACTCAAGGTAAATGGTACTAGTTGAGGCAAACTTATAATCAAGACAGAAGATTGTCTGCCCTGACAAGTGTTTTTGTTCAGTGGAGATTAGCAGTGAAGTTCTTGTGCAAAAGCCTGGGATCCCTGGAGTCCTCTGCCTTCCCTGAGGTACTGAAGTTATGCTGAGAAGGTTGAGCAGAAGAGGTTAGAAACAGGTAACTGCTCTGTTAGGAGCTTCACCGATAATCTTGCAGTGTCTAAAATGACTGCAGGCGCTCGTTGAACGCTTTGCTTTTGGCATGACACCTCCTGGTTCTATTTCTGTCCAGACTGTAAGGTTCACTCCAGAGCTGCTGTGATCATAGAAGTCTAACATGAGAGGTCAATATTTGGCTTTTGTGTGCGTGCAGTCTCATTTCAGTAATCATAAATATCAAAATGTCCTTCTTTCTGGCCCAGGCTCCCAGAACACAGGCCGAAGTTCACCACCTCCTGGGTATGTTCCAGAGAGGCAGCAGCGCATTGCTCGGCAGGGTTCCTACACCAGCATAAATAGTGAAGGCGAATTCATCCCAGAAACCAACGAACAGTGTGTAAGTATGAGCATTTGGGTGAAAAAAAGTAAGTCCACCTGTTACGGAACTCGCTGCTGCTCCCTGGGCCCTCTTTTTCCCTCCAGAATATTCACGAGCTGTAGTTGCATTAGCACCTACAGGTACTGCTTGCTTTATTTAAACTGTGCGTCAGACCTGTTTGTAGTTTCTGGACTGCCAGAAGCAGTTACCATGCATGTTGGGCATTGTCCCTCCACCTCTGAACGAGCAGTTTTGGTGTGCGTTACCCATGTATGCTCAGGTTTCCTATTATCAGGTTCATGTGACCCTCTTGCATTGGAAACTGCACTCTCCATTCAAAAAAGTAGGAAGTAAGGGCAAAGGGCGACTCGCAGGTGGAGGCAGCAATGCAGTAGCACCAGCAGAGACACTGTTCCTGAAGTCACTTGGGATCAAAATGCAGCACAAGGCTGACTTAAACTTTCATTTTCACAGTAGAGTCCTTAGACACCTAAAGTAATGGCTCAAATTCATATGTCCTTAACTATTTCTGTGGGAGATAAAGGAAAAATGTACCTTCTAAATAGCTTTAGAATCCCCTTTTCATCTGGACATCCTCCAGGGAAGCAGTAGTGGATTCTGATCCTCTTGCATGGCCTCCTTCAGGCATTAGATGGAACTGATGTTACTATGTGATTTCTTCTGTGTTGCAGATGCTGGACCCTTTAAGCAGTGCTGAAAACTCGGTGTCAGGAAGCTGTCAGTCCTTGGACAGGTCAGCAGACAGGTACAAATGTACAGGCTGGTAGGAACTTATGTGCGCAAATCAAAATGCCAGTTGTACTTATGCAAAAGTTTGTTTTCCATCTCACAAATTTTCTTGGGAGGGAAATAGGAACTTAGAAAACCGTTTTTGCTGATACCTTTGATGGTGATTCTTGAACTCATCTAAATCACTCATTTCCACAACACCTACCTGTATCCCAGTATAGAGAATTTGCTATATCTTAAGGCTGTTTTATTTTCTGGCAAAACCATAGACTGACAAACTGGTGCTTCAGTAGCCCTATGTTATAAATACAAAGTTCCAAAGCGTGCCGTCTGTGTGGAGCCTAGATTCCAGGAACATCTGGCTGGAGGGTATTTAAATCTCTTTTAGACAAGGCTTTACTTGTTCATTTTAAAAAAAAAAAAAAAAAAGAAAAAACCAAACCAACAACCTATTCTAAGGTTACAGAAATATAGCATTACACTAGATTCCTATGTCCTGCAAGTTGTAATATTAAATCCGAGGGTAAATATGGGGGCTTTTCCTTTGATGAAGAGTTTATCATAGTCTGATGCTCTAGATCTTTGTCTTCCCTTTCTTGGCTGTTGGTGTTGCTTGAGGTGTTGGTGGGCAGCCGTAGGTCTTATTAACTTAAATAGCAACTGTGGCTTCCCAGCACCTGTAATATTGGGCTTCAGCACCTTGTTAAGACTCGTCCAAGCTGATTCCTGTAGGTAGTGTATGCTCTGGCGTCAAGCACTTGAGATTTGATTTTGTTGCCATTCACTTTCTCCAGTTTATGGAGTTACAAGGAAGCACTTACTTGTGTGTGTGCATTCAGTTATGTGGGGGACGTTGCTGGTTTGTTACCTGTCCTTCTCTCCCCTTTCTCTGCCCCAAGTGGAGGACATGATGGGGAAAAAAAAGCCTTCCTTGTTATTCCTTGTAGGAACGGTCATCAAGTGGAGAAGCTGTTGTTTGTGCAGTAGGTAGTACTATGTGGTAGACTCCCTTATTTGGGAGTCTGAAAGCTGTATCAGGCTCACTCCATTTACACTGGTTAACAAAAAAAAAAGCGCAAATAGCATGGCTTTGGCACAGATTGAGTTTTTGTAATCTCTTGAGATGTTGAAGGCCTTCTGCCAGACAAGGGGCCATACTTAGGCTTGCTTGAGGAGCCCTGCTTACTGGGGAGAAACGCGAAGGTTGTAAGGAGTGCTTGTGTTTAGGCTCCTCTGTTGCTGGTAGAGAGGAAAGTGCACAGAAGTTTTCACGAGAGGAACTCTTACCCCTCATAGTAAATCACTGGGGGCAGTGGTCCCCATTGCCCACCGCCCTGGGGGCAGTGCGCTGCAAGCAGTACCCTGTTCTGCTCTTCCTCTTAGCCTTGGTTTTAGCCCTCTATTTCGCGTGGCTGAAGGAAGCACTGAGTCTCAAACCACAGGCTGAGGAATTGCTGAATGAATGGCACAAACTGGACAGAAAGGATGACTGCCCACCTTGGGAAACAGTCTGGTTAGCTGGGGCTCAGCCTGACTTCAGCTTTGCAGGTGTAGTGTGAAATTATTGCAGGGACACAGGTTTAAAAATCATCATTACTGACGTGCAAAAGTATTCGCTTGTATTTAAAGCCCTTGTAGGCTTCTCTCCAGTAGATAGCAAAACTTACTCTTGCCTTCTTTCTTTAATAGTCCTTCTTTTCGGAAATCACGGATGTCGAGGGCACAAAGCTTTCCTGATAATAGACAGGAGTTCTCAGGTATGTCAGTGTCCAGTATAAAGATTATTTGGTCTAGACATTTTCTGCTGTTTGCTGGCTACCCTATATGTGTGCTGGGATTATATAAATAGAAGAACTGGGGATATGTTGATTGAAAAGCAATGGAGTTACTTATTACTCACCTCTTCTTAAAAAACCTGCTGTTACAGGAAAACTCTGTCATTAGAACTTGTACTTTTTGAAGGAGCCTCACTTCTGTCTTTGCATCTCCTTCCAGACCGTGAGAATCAGATCTATGACAAAGCGGGGAAAGGTGGGACCTACCCTCGGCGCTACAATGTCTCCATGCAGCACAAAGACTACAATGACGGTGAGTTGTTTGCAGACCTTTGATTCCAGGCTTTGGAAAAGAAGGTGAGGCAATGGCAACCTCCAGGGGCGAGTGGAACTCTTAGCTGAAGAGTCTGGAAGTGCCCTGGTCCTTGCAGTTAGTGCTGGAGTTAATGCTACCGTGCGTGATACCATGTTTTCATAGCAACCCATGACGGCTGTTGGTAATTCTTTGTTTACTTTGCCCTGTCTGGGCATATGCAGGCTGATCAGTGGGTGCTAAGGTTGAGCAGTGGGTGCAGTTATTAGCCTTGGTCATATATAGTGGGTTCCTACCTAGGGGATTCATCATGCTTTGCTAACTTGCAATGCAAACTTGCTTTTGGGTCTTCTCAATATACCAGTGAGTTAGAGAACCACATCTCTGCTCATCAGATGGCTTTATGAAAATTAATTTCTCAAAGTTTCATAAGAGGTGCAAGTTCTTATAATCTTTGTTTATGGTTTTTATTTGCAAGTCCAGGCATGTTATCTAGAAAGTCACTCTGTGCAGTTGTTAACAAGCCTTGGAGCTTTTGTGGTAGCCTGTAAGCCAGATTTTTGCCTTGGAAGGCAAGTTTAGATCTTGCACGACTGCACTGAGGCCATTACAAAGTGTTCTCTCCCTTCAACTTTGGGAATGATCCAAAGCTGTACTGATCTCAAGCAGCATCAGCCCTGAACTGTTGTATTTTTGTGTCTTGTCTGTTTGGCAGTAGATTCTACTCCGTGGGAACAGACCTGAACACTTTTTTGGTCTCTCCCTTCTCTTTGTTGCTCAACCTCTAGCTGTTACCTTCCACTTGTAAGCATATTATTTAAAAACTTGACTTTTTTTTTCCAGGCCGGAGGACATTTCCCCGGATACGGCGTCACCAAGGGAATCTTTTCACCTTGGTCCCTTCAAGTCGTTCCTTAAGCACCAACGGAGAAAACCTGGGCCTGGCGTTGCAGTACCTGGACCCCCGGGGGCGCCTGCGGAGCGCCGACAGCGAAAATGCCCTTGGTGTGCAGGAGAGGAACATTCCCACCAAATGTAAGCAGTCAACCTGTTGATAACTGGGGAAAGGGCTCCTGGGGCTAAGGGTGAGAGAGGCTTTTGGAGATGAACTCCAGACCCAATATAGTACCATAGCTTGATTTTTAACCAAGCCATTCAAAACCACATAATTACATGGCTGTGTTTTGAGACCAGTCCATCTCACCTATAAGACAGGTCCTCTTTTTCTTCTAAGAATATGTAGTCTTGCACTGGGAGCTGGCCTTTCCTTTAGAAAGCAGTGGAAATTCTGCAAAGAAGTAAAAAAAGTGGAAGTTGATTGGATCTAGATGATCTCCAGGGTTCTTAGAGTCAGACAAGTTGTTTATTTTCTTGGTACATTAACGTTTGTAGTCAGGCTTGTGGATTACAGTTATTTTACTAGTTAAGGGCTGTATTTATTTCACTTGCTCCTTAGAAGAAAGATTTACTTCTGTATTAATAGCATTCCTGAGTTGGTTTGGAGGGAACTTTGTACTATTAAAGAAAAAGAAATGGAACATAAATCATTACTGATGAACTTCAGATATCCCATACAGCAATTTAAGGATCAAAATGAAGACATAAATGCAGCAAAGTAAACAACACACTAAAACATGGGCTATCAGTAAATCTGACTAAATTGGACACGTCAAAGCTAATCTCTCAGCTCTTCTGTATTTTCACACTGTCCAGATGTCTGGTTCCTGTCTCTGATTTTAGGGTTTCTTGTTAAATACAACACAACTGGATGCATTTCACTGCATGAGTCTGGTAGTGTTGTTTTCAAAGTTAGAGCTAAAGCACTGGTCTTTGAGTAATATGCTTTGGTATTAAGTCTGGAAACCTGGCCCAGGTGTTAATCTCTAGGTAAGGAGTCTGCTGCTTGTGCAATGCACTCGCCTGGGCAGTAGAGCAATGAGAACTCCTCATTCCCTGCTGATGTAACCTCCTGCTGGAGCATTGCAGATGCCTGCTTTAGCTGGTTCTCACGTATATTTTTATTAGAGTCTGATTGGTCAGCAGGTAAAGATACCCGCACTGTGCTTACATTATGGCCCCTACCTTATCAGTGATTAGTAGGGAATTACGACTTCTAATTTTTCTGCTGTAGAGATAGCCTTGCAGTGAAATCCTTCCCGCAGGAGCAGGAACCCCAAACTAACCAATGATTGGCAAAGAACTGAGAAATAATGTCCTTCAAATTGTCCCAGAAGCTTAACAGTCATTCCCAGCTGGGTGGGGTTGATTTAGGGAGGCTGATCCAGCTCTTCTTCACCTGATGCCTGTAGTAACTACAGATCAAGGGTTGGGAGATGCCATTTAATTGCTGCCCCATCTCTTAAGATAGTTATGTTGTAGAATCCACCCTGCTGGTGGAATGAAATTTCATCAACCTCATGGAATAATTTGTCTGTAGTATATCTGCAAAATGTTTTGCAATTACATTTTAATGGGACACCAGTCAGCAGGTCCTGAGAGTCTGAATGGTTGGATTCTGTTCAGTCCTGCCACTAACTCACTTATACTGGGAGAGTGCCTCATCTCTGTTTCTTCAATTGCAAAACATCTGTTTCAATCCCAGTATGATGGAGATTGATCTTTGAAATGATCACCATTATCTTTAAATAGTATATTGAAAAGAGAAATTATTACTGTTCTTTTTTAGCTCCTAGTGCTCCAATAAACTGGCGACGAGGAAAACTGCTGGGGCAGGGTGCCTTTGGTCGTGTGTATTTGTGCTATGATGTGGACACGGGCAGAGAGCTTGCAGCTAAGCAGGTCCAGTTTGACCCAGAGAGTCCTGAAACAAGCAAGGTAATGCTCATCGCAGTTTCTAAAATGCATTATGCAGGTTTTGAGATCTTGTAAAGGGCCTGTATCTGTCTGTCCTCGAAAGCTGGCATCTTACTTAGTTTGTACTAGGATTTCAAGTCATGTGGAGGGGAATAGTAGTCATTTAAAAAACACTTTTCTGTATTATTAACTTCAGCCTGAAACTAAAATCCATTTTCTGGCTTCATTTTTGGCTCTCCCTTCTCAGCTTTTTGGTTAGTTGCCAGGTTACTTGAGGAATACTAGACTGCCCTGTGTTCCTGGTTGGACATGGATGTGAATGAAACTAAACCCAGAAAAAGGAGGACTTTTTTTTTCTTTTTTAAACAAAAAAGCTGCATGCACTTGCAAAACCCGCTTTCTGGGCTTATATGGTAGGCCCTGACTGGTTCTGCTTCTGCTTCCCTGTCTTTGAAACAAACTGAACTGTGGTGTGTAAATTAATCGAGAACAGTGATGTGACACCACATTAGAAACAGTGGAGATGGGAGGGGGCACCTTGAAACTGTAGGATAGCACACAACTCTCTGCACAGTGGAGGCAGCTGGAATGGCTGTTACTATGTTCTTTGCCAGTGTTTTAGCAATGTACCAGTTTCCCAACGTTGAACAAATTCACTTTGAGCTGGAATAAGTGATCCGTGAAGATTCAATTATTCTGATTTTATATGGGTGCCAAGATAAGTCCTAACTTGGTAAGTTCTAAGTTATACCATGTCTCTGCTGTAAATCAGACGGTAACTCTGAGCCAAGGAAGAACAGGCTGGAATGTATTTTGAAGGCACTGAAACTCCAACCCTTAAACTATCAGTTGGCCTGATGAAGCAGCTTCCTCTGGTTCCATGCATCTCTGCAGCAGCCAGGTCCTTGCTCTTGAAGAGCTGCATCCTCTCCCAAAGCAAGAAAAGTGAACCTGGCACCTTCCAGTGGCAGGAGTGGAGACAGTTAAGTGGGACTAATTTTGGGGAAACCATAATTTCTTTTTCCATAAATCCTCATGCTCCGGTGCCTTTGATGTTCATCCTGTTCATTCCCTGGATTCGGCAAGAACCTGATACTTTTCCTGGGCAACAAACATCTGATTCAGCCTGAAATTGTTGGATGGCCTTTCTGCCTTTGCGCTATGATACCCTGTTGTCTGTGGCATGAATAAAGCAGAGAATCAGTTTCATGTGCATAGCTGCAGATTCTTTGAAGTAAATAAGAGAGGAAGCCATTTCTAAGGTTGATTCAAGTAAAATCATCAGTGTGAATCAGAACAGGACTGGGTGACTAAAGGAGTCAGGAACTCTTAGCACCTCTAGTCTTGCTCTCTAACAGGTTGAGGTTCTTACCGTAAGATTCCTAGCAATTCTGTAACTGTGTATTCAGAGCTTTCCCATAATTGAAATCAGCGCTCACTGCCCTCAGCTTAGTGGTGAGAAGTAAGGTTGTATCTGTGGTGTGCGTGAAGAATGCTGTCGACCGACTTGGCCAAAGCCATTCAGCTGACAGAATCAAGACAAGAAACACAATTTTTCTGGTGCTAAGTCCATATGTGATACTGCCTGTGTTCTGACTCTCAAAGCTCCTGCGCCAATCCTTACCTGCTTATTATACAGTAAGGATGAAGCATTGGTAATGTTTGCCTTTCCCAAGAGGTAGGGGAGCCAATGCCATGGAATAGACTTCTTCAGTGTAGTAGTGGCCTCATCCTTCCAGTGATGTGGACATATTTATGAGGATGGAATGTTTCCTGGGACAGGAACCTTATTTTCTCCTTCAACATCCATAGGAAGTGAGTGCCCTGGAGTGTGAAATTCAGCTGCTAAAGAATCTCCAGCACGAACGCATTGTTCAGTATTACGGCTGCTTACGGGATCGAGCCGAGAAGACCTTGACCATCTTCATGGAGTACATGCCAGGGGTAAGAGCTGACACGAGCAGCACAGTCGCAGATCATAAAGTGAGGTGGGTGGGTTTGGTAGTTGGTTTATTAGTTGCTGTGATTACACAAGCTATGTAATCCACCCTATCACCTCATAGGTATGTCCCTTTCTCATACTGGCTTTATAGCACCACCACTTTCTTTTTATTTATGCCCAAAACATGTCTTTGGGTTTTTCTTAGTGTCTTAAACTTGAAATGCATTCTTTTCATAACACCAGTTCTTTTCTTCAGTCTGATTTTTTTCTAATGAAGTGCTTCAGAGGGCTTGGGCCAACTAGCAGGGTCATATAGTACAGCAAATGAGGCTAAAACTGACTCTGCAAAAAGGGAGACTTTTGACCCCGACCAGTCTGATGAAGTATTTTATTGCTTGTCTTCACACACAGTTGTACCAGCATGGCTCAAGGATGGAGGAATCAGACAGAACCTTCTTAAACTATTTTTGCCGTAAAGCATGTCCTTGCTTTTCTTAAAAAATGCCTCCTTCATAGGGCAAGATGCTCCGAGCGCCTCACAAAAGGGCTTTAGAAGAGGCCAGAATTCGTTACTGTGCCGGCTGGGTGTATAACACAAGTCACAGCTCGTGGGAATTGAATGGAGACTGCAAGATTTGTGGTTTGTCATTTCTTTGCCAATCCCTTCTGTTTGCTTTTGGTGTAGGGGTCAGTGAAAGACCAGCTGAAGGCGTATGGTGCTCTCACGGAAAATGTAACCCGGAAATACACTCGCCAGATTCTCGAGGGAGTCTCGTACCTTCACAGCAACATGATTGTGCACAGGGACATAAAGGGTGAGATCAGCTGGTGATTTATGTGTATGCCACGTGCTAAAGGAACTCTGGAAAAAGAAGCTGAGTGTTAAGAATTCAGTATCTTGGTTGGGGCTTCTGAACGATGCTTTGCTCAGTTATCCCTTTTGGGTCTTACGTCCGTGTGCAAGGCTTAGGGAAGGTTGTGTTCTGAGCTGGGTAGGGCGGTTGGGCTGTTCTCTACAGGACCTGAGAGCGTGGCGGTTGGTTGTAGTAAGGAAGGCTGGAAGCTCTAATGCTTAGGAACAATCCTCTGTTATTCCTCATCCCCAGCAAAATGAGGCTGAGTTGCCACCTGACTGTCACTGCCCCTGTAGGGCACACTCATTGCCCCATGGATTCCCTTCTAATTTCCTCTCTGCTTGGCCAGAGTACCATTTCCCAGCTGGCAGGCATACCGATTGCCGTAAGAGCTCCATGCCTGCTCTTGGCAGTCCTGCTTACCTCAGGCTCTTGTGACTGTCATGCCTCCTCTGTGTAAGAAACCTCTAATTTTCCACGTAAAGCCTCTGTGATTAGTCCTTAATCTTCCTCTTCCCAATATAACCCCATGGAGCCAGCCAGTCTCCTTAAGAGTTAATGTCAACAGATGTGGCAGACACCACACAAAGTTTTCTGTGCTCTAGAGGGACCAGGAGGGTTGCTCACTGCAGGAAAAATACCCTCTTGTTGCTGCCTATAAATCTTCATTGCATCCCCTCTAGGTTGGCAAAGGGAAATGAACTGCTGATTCTTGAATAACACCTTATACACTGCTGATGTGGTGCTCTTTACCAAATGATTTCCTACCCGCTGGGTTATTCACTAGTTTGCACCCATCTTCTAAGCGAAACTGTTAACTTGCCTCCAGGGCACTGGGTGGACAGACTTGTTACTCTGAATTCAGCTCTTCCAGTGGGGAAGTGATAAAGTTCTCTCCCATCCCAAGTGCATTTTATTTGAGGGCAGAAGGAGATCACACAGGCACGCACCAGACCATGGCAACACAGGGTTCTTGATCTTACTGCAGCTTTGGAGGAAGAATTGGTTTTGGTGTCTAAGCCTTAGTTTGTGTCCATGTACAAGCTAAACTCTTAAGTTTGCTTTTTTTCCCTGGTGCTTCATGTTCAGGACCTCTGACCAAGTAGAGTAGAGATTGACTTGTTTATTGTAAGAGTTCAAAGTGGTTTAATTAGCTACATCTGTTACACAGCTGACCAGAAAGCAATGGTTATACTCACCAAAGCAGCATCCCAATAAAATCCTTTTCTACACAGCAATGCACTGCCTAAGCCATTGGCCTGGGGGCCCTGCGTAGGCTCTCCGAGCTGTTTACAGGCAGTGTAACAATGATGATGCTGACTCAGCTCTCATTTCCCTGCCCCCTTCACTTCCTTGTGTTTTTCCCCTGAAGTTTTTCCCATTTGCAGCCATTAGCAATTGGCTTGTCTACAGCCTGAAATAAAGAAATGATGTTTAGCAGGTCACCTGAGGCTTAATGGGGAAGAAGCCATACCATGAGCATGGGTATTTCTGGGTTGGATATCAGCTCTGTAGGCTGCGGATCCAACAGCTGGATTGCATGAAAACAGCTGTCTCAATTCTTTGTTTTTTGTCCAGGAGCCAATATTCTCCGTGACTCTGCTGGGAATGTGAAGCTTGGGGACTTTGGGGCCAGCAAACGGCTGCAGACAATCTGTATGTCTGGAACAGGCATCCGCTCTGTCACTGGCACGCCATATTGGATGAGCCCGGAGGTGATCAGCGGAGAAGGCTATGGAAGAAAAGCAGACGTATGGTGAGGCTTCAACCTCCTCTCTGTAGATCAATTTACAGCTTTTCTGGAGCAAGATAAGACATACACATTCTGTCATCCGTATATGCAAAATCAGATTTTTGTCTGGATCAAAAGTTTAAGGCGAACTGAGGTAGTTAATTGGAACTCAAGACATGACCTGCTGCAGGCTGTGCTTTGCAATGTCAATGCACAACTGCTCGTTTAGATTTTAAGGAGCAATTTCCACTCGTTCCTCTTGAACAGATAGCTGATTTTCTGGTTTCTGACTTTTTCTGGTGTGAGGTTTCCATCCTTCTTAGATCCCTTACAAAAAAAGGGAATGAAGGTTGTTTAGGGAGCGTCCATTCATTTTGTTATAAAGTGAGAGGTATGTTTATAATGCTGTGGAAATGAAAGGAATAGAATTTGAGTATGTTGACAAAGCTTTAAAGGAAAGATGCCCAAACCTGGAATAACACAAAAGATACGGGTCAGATCAGAGGGGATCTGAAGTATGCATGAATGGAAACTACAGCCATGCTATTATTGGCATTGCCAAGAAACAGCCTCTATCGAAAGGAAAAAAGCAAAATGGTCCTGTGTCAAAACGTTAGTTTTGGAGGCCTTAGAGAGGTGAGATTATAAAACTGAACTAAATGACAGCAACAAAAGGTGTGTTTGTGTCTCCACAGCAAAGCAAGGCCTCTGCTGTTCCCTGTACGAGCAGTGAGTGCAAACATAGCTGAAATTTGTCTCATATGCAAAGAGTTAAGTTCCGCAGACCCTCCCAGTCGGGATGCTTGGGGAGGGAACGGAGCACGTGCCCTTCCCCCTGGGTTGATGCAGTTGTGGATTTCCTCTTGGTGCTGACATCGGTCCATTCCCATCAAAGAGACGCGGCCGTTGGCGGGGCTCCAGGTCCTACAACCCCGATCGTTATTTAGGGGGGTCAGAATTTTCCAGTGCAGCGTTAGTCCCAGGGTGGATGCGTATGGCTGAGAGGCTCAAAGACGTAACAAATCTCACCACCTGGCTTTCCGCCACTGCTGCAGGCCCCTCTCCGTTTTTCTTTTTCCTAAATAGCAGAATATGTGAGCTATTTGTTATTGCTGGAGTGACTTGACATGAAAAACATTCCTACTGTTTGCTGAATATCTTAAAGAAACCGGATCTGCTTAAACGGTATAAATCAGTCTAAACAATAATATATCCCTGCTTGCTCTTGAGCAAACCCCCAGCACTTCAGCACACATGGTTTGCATTTTCTGTACTCTCTTCTAGTAAGTCTTAAATGGCTGGAAACCAGTGTAAAACTTTCACGTTGGATTTTAAACCTTGTCAAGAAGTCATTTCTTGCATATTCACTGGATTTAATTCCTTTCCTTCCTTGTCTTGGCAACTGGTGCAAGTCTGCCTCTGAAAATGTCTTGTCTTTGCTTTTCACTCAAAAGAGGGGTTAGTTTCAAGGTAAAAGAGGCAGCTTTGCCTTTTTAATGGAACGATGTGATCAGAACACAGGGCTGGATAGGAGAAGTTCACTAACTGCTTATGCTTAATCTGTGGCCTGGAGGAAGCAAATAATCCTTTTTTGAACAAAGCCCAATCGCTGCAGTACTGCAGAAACCCACCTTCCTTGTGAAAGCATCGGTGTCACACTTGCTTCAGAAAGGTGTCTCAGCCACGTCCGTCCCCATAATCACGTTCTTGCCTTAATTAGCCTGCAGAGCCCCGTTAACTTCAGCAGTTTTGCCTTAACCTGATGATGCATCCGCCCTACTGGCGTTTTAACTTGCTGCCTTCTCAGTTTGCAGCTGTTAAGACTTGAATTATCTTCTTACTGTCTGCAATGCTTGGTTTCTTGTGGAGATAGGAGGGTTTTTTTTTCCCTGCGTGAGCATTCTGAGGCTGTGCACTGAAAAGGTATTTTGCTGAAGCGGCTTTGTGGGGTCAGCCAGCTCTGACTGGACCTTGGTTAAAAGGTGCGTTTTCTACCTTGCAAACACCAAGTGCCTTTGAGATGTAACAGTAGCAGTAGCACCCAAAATACCACTGAGGTCAAACGGTGCCTTTGGGGACGTCTCATGTGCACCTCTTGTCCCTGTTATTAATGCAAATACTGAGAGTAGAATTTGAGCAAAGGAGAGCTGGATAGATGGACTCACAGTTCTTGGTGCAGCGAGAACCACAGTGGAAACCAGCCTCCCTGTCTCAGCACTTTCCTGCTGGCCTGACAGTAGTAAAAGCAGCGACGTTGGCAGGCCTGGCTCGGAGTCTGTGCACACATGGGGTTTGCTGAGCACGAAGCCAGTTTATGGCTGTTTTCAGAGCAGAGCTGTACCTTGATGTTGGCTGCTTGGAAGTTCTCTCTGAACACCGTACGTTATTCTGTGAGTCAATTTTTTCTTTTTTTCCCACCCCCCCACTGGGCAGAGTACGAAGCCATGGCAGCCATTTTCAAAATCGCCACCCAACCAACCAACCCCCAGCTCCCCTCTCACATATCAGAACATTGCCGGGACTTTCTAAAGCAGATCTTTGTGGAAGCCAGGCACAGACCCTCTGCTGAAGAGCTGCTCAGACATCAGTTTGCACAGCTCCAGTACTGAATTACCTCCCTCGCTAGCAGCTCCTGCTGGGCTTTTGGTGCCCCGTCTGGTCTAGTTGCAACTGCCCGTTGTGGTGCTGCATCTTCAAAATGCCAACTCAGCTGTCCTAGTCCTTTGGGGAAATTAATGCCAAGGAACCTAGGGTCTGCTCTTGTGCCTGATACCTTTGTTTGCTGGACTAATGTTTATTCTACCGACAGCTGTCCAAACAGAGCTGCATTTTTGCCCTAGTTACCTTGATGTGAAATTGCAGCTGGCTGCATGTTTTCTGCAGGCCCGAGAATGGGAATACGAGAAGTGTCTCACAGGGTGAACGTGGAAGAAATGTGAACCAAAGTGGGAACTGGAAGAGCTATGCTCTTTGGAACAGAAACGTGCAACAGCCATCCGGACCAGCTCTCTGTGTGTGGGTCACTGTTTTCCAGACTGCTAGGGCTTTAGAGGCATCTATAGTACATGAATCCAGCAAAAAGCCATGTGTCATTGAGCATGCGCTCGCTATATAATTAATTATATATTTTTCTTCTTAAGTATTCAGCATCTGAAGGTGTTCAGAAAATATTGATTCAAAAGTATGTGAATAGTGTTATTTTATAATGAAACCATGGATTTTGGGGTGGGGGTGAGGGAGGTCTTTCTAGCTAAATGTCAGGATAATCAGAAAAGTTTCAGCAGAATGCAATCGCTCCAGAGCCTAAGGGAAGGGCTCTCCCACTGACGTTAGAAAATCCAGAGCTTGATTTCTAAGGCTTGATCTGTCCTAGCATTAAGACAGTGTCAGTTGGTTTGTGTCCTCATAGCCAGCAAATCTGTGCTCCTGCTTCATCTCCCTGGGACTGCTGGGTCTGAACAAAACCCTTCTGGAAGGGAGTTCTGCGGAACAGTTTTCTCTTGCACCCATCTTTTTGGCTGGTAGCTTCTTACCATCCCTTAAACCAAAGATAGTTCACCTGGTGCCCAGGAATTTCCTTCAGGAAAAGCGTATGTGTTTCTTAGAGGACCTGGTCTAATGGAAAAATGAGTTTTTCACAGGCAGAATTTGCTGGACACTGGTTTTACTTGTGCACAGTAAGTTAGAATCAAGCTCAACCCTTCAGTGTGTGCGTTTTGTTGTACAGGTGTGCAAGCATTCATTTAAGGTTTCCATAAAATATTAGGGTCCTATTTAAATAAGCTTTTGTACGAGTTAAGTCAAACAGTGAACCGGAGAGAACGTTTTGTAATGCTAGCGTATTTCTGAAATGAACTGGAGATTCCCATCCAGGTACCAGCAAAACGTATTTGAGCGGTGGTGCGTTTGGAAGGTACCCTGTCTCCGAGAGCTGAGTTCCGATGGCTCACCGGCCTCAGGCACTGCCTGTCGATTCGGGCGCTAACAGTCCTTATTTCACTCGTGAAAGAGCAGCAGTTCTTAAGTGCTGGGGCTTCATGGAGTAATTACAAGTTACCGGTGTGAAATGAAATGAGGAAAAGCAAATGTATTATTAGCTAAAACGTTCCTTGTAGAGCAATGTTAAAGGTGTTCTGCTTTTGTATTGGAAACCATTTAAGGGTCCACAAGCCTCCACTCTTCCCCCCCCCCAAAGAAAACTTGAAAATTGCTTTCATAATGCAGTAAAATTTACAGTTTTAAGTGAATGCTCATAGCAGGAAACAGCAAGTTTTAATGAAACCAAGCTCCTTGAACACATGATAAATAATGTGTTTTAATTAAAAGAGGGAAAGAAGAACCCTAAAAAAATCCCAAACAACCAAAAGCCCTGAAAGGGTTTAACAACCTGAAGTGTTTTTTTCTGTGCCAAACCCAGAGCAATGTGTAATCAGTGAAAGCAAGCTAGGGCTGGTTTCACTTTCAGGCTCTCCTGTACTACGTCAAGGATGCACTGTTTAGGTTGCAGGCACTTAGGGGGATATCTTTAATGAAAGCCCTTGTTCCATAATTTATTTAATTCTAGTGAGAGCACTTCTATTGATTTCTTCCAAACCCGGAACTTGACTCCAAATTGTCAAGACACGCGGCCTGACTTTTGGCCTGCGCCTCACTGTCGCTTGCTCCGAAGGGAAGGGAGGGTGTGACGCTACTACTCTGGTTTTGGGAGCGTTTTACACCCCTTTGCTGTGGTGTCAATGGCTGCGTGTGCTGCAGAGGAGTGTGAAATCATTCCTGTAGTCTCGATGACAGCATTAGGGTGGTCAGCACTCCTGTGGGGCCGGGTAGCATTCTTCAAGCCTTGTAACTAGCACCTAAATATACCAAAGATTGGAATCTTTTATTCGTCACACTTTGCCCTGCAGACGTACAGCAGCAATCGAGAGTTTGGTGATCCTGTCTGCACAGGTTTCTCTCTACCCTTGGCTTGTCCTCACCAAATGGAGACCTTCTTCCCTGGTCTTCCCTTGCTATCCCACACAGCGTGTTTTAGGAGAATAGGGCACGAGGAAATGGTGTAACTTTTAATGTTTCAAAGCAACTAAATCCTCAGGATCTGTTGTGGCTTTTACCTCATATGCGGCATGGAAGGCTGTTCCAGAGCAGAGCAAAGAGCATCGTGGGCTGATGGGCTCAGTCCTCTCCCCGCCAGAGCTTCTGCTCCTTCCCACCACCTATGCTGAAATGTGCCTACCCTGTGTATACACTTGTATTCCGGTCTGTATTAACGACAGTAAATAGCGGTTGTACAGAGACAGAGAACATGGGGTGCCGGCTCAGACTGCCTGTATTCTCCTACCTGACCCAATGCCACCCGTTCGGCACAGGAACAAGCCAAAGCATTACTTGTATGTTTGGAGATGCACTTTTATGAATGTAGTTTATATCGCTCTTTTTTAGCTCTTTTTACATCATGTAAACGGTGATGCCTCATACTTTTTTTTTTTTATTTATATCGTAAAAGATCATATTTGGTGATTTTTATATATATCGACTCGACTGTTACGGGGTAGGGGGGGAGGATGGGAATAAATTTGACGTCTTTATGAATTTAAAAAGGAAAAAAAGCAGCTGGTTTTGCAGAGAAATTGCTGATGGTTTATAACGAGTAGAGCCAAGCCAAAATGCATTCTTTGTTTCTTCACAGCCCTCTTGATTATGGAAAAGGAAGATCTGGATTCCTAAGTCCGCTGCTACAGTGAATAAGCTTGGGGCTGACACATACTACAGTCTCTTAACGCGGCCCTGGCAGCAAAAAAGTTTCAAGTGGACATAAATGTAATTATACCTCTAAATTGAATTATGTCTGGCCTCTATCCTCACAGAATTGGAAAAAACTGGGAATAAACTCATTTAGGGGAGAGAGGAGGAGGAGGAGGAGAGCCAGGCTAACAATAAGCTATTGTGTCCATTCCAAATGTCATGTTGTGTTTCCTGCTGTTCCTTCCAGGGAGGGATATACAGCGAATATTGAGTATTGGGATCCTCGATGGAAGGTGCTGCAGAAATGGAAAATATTCTGTTTGGAGAAAAATATCTTATAGGAGCCTCGTTATCCTGAAACAGTTGAAACTGAGCAGGAAAATGTCTGAGATTCCCATCAGAGAGGAACTTGGGGGAATGGGGGGATTTGGCTGTCCCTGAGCTTGTTAGGAAACAAACTATTGGCGTTTTGGTCTTGGTGTGACGATTCTGTGCATTCCAGGTTATTTGCTTGTTCTCCAGCAAATCTGATCTTGGCCTATTGTAGCAGCGGTAGGTTGCAGCAATTTGGATTTTTTTTTTTTCAGTATTCCAAAGGACTTGAAGATGCTCCAAACAGTTCCCTTTGCCATTAGTTACCAAAACAAATTGACCGAGAGGGAAACTGGTACCCGCTCAGGTGACACGTGTTATTTCCAAGTGCCCAGAGAGCCAGGATAACTTGTGAAACCTCAGTAAATCTGTATCCTGCTGTGCAAGCGTTCTCTGGTAGGCAAGGGCCAGATACTTCGAGCTGTACGGGGGGGCTGAATGAGATCCCAGTGATTGGTGCTTAGGTTAAGAGCTGCTGGATGGAAAGGGTTTATGTATTTGAATAGAATCACAGAATCATTTAAGTTGGAAAAGACCTTTAAGATCATCAGGTCCAACCGTTCCCCTAACCCTGCCATCCCACCAGAATACATACAGTCCTGTGGCTGTCACCTTGGTACCTGCGCTTGGAGCTAGTATTCAGTCCATCTTCAATTTTCAGAACAAAAAATAGGTGTCCTCTGTGGTTTGATGGCGCTTGGGCTTCAGGTCTTTAAATCCCAGCCTTGTTTAGGAGCAAATCTCACTGAGCAGCTCTGAATTTCCCAGTTAGAAAAGGTAGATGTGCCTAGGGGGGGCAGTTCAGAAGTGAAGAAAAGGACTTGATTGTCTGTCAGAGCCCGTCTGACATAACCTCTGCAGAGCAGGGAGAAATTGCTTTAACCTGGATTGTGCAGAAGACCTTGAACCAGTAGTCTATATATACCGACCGGGGGCTTGCAGTGCAAAGCCAGGCCAATGTATCGTTTTATTTACAATAAAATTATCATTTATATGAAAGCCTTTTGGTGGCTGTTTGCAACACAGTGTCTCTTACTTACTGTGTAAGTGGTGCCTCAAGATAAGCAAATAAGACAATTAACTTGTTTTCTAGCTAATCAATGATCTTAACTGAAGGAAGAAACTTTTTTCCTTTCAGGAATTTATTCTCGGGGACAGCTGGAGAAGTGTGCTGTTTGTGAAGCATTGCTTCTTGGATCAGCTAAGTGTGTCCTCCGCAAGGCTGCGCCTGAGGAAGGTCATGTTCATCCATTTTTGCTCATTCTCTCTTGCAGGATTGTAGCTGGACTGGTTTATTGGCTCTTTGTGTGGAGATCCTACTGAGGGAGAGCAGGAGCTGAGCTTTGCATTTGGATTTTGCTGTGGTGGGGAGTTCTTTGCTCCCGGTCTTGGTCTGTGAATGTTCTTGATTCATCAGTGGATAGATCGTCATCAGGTGGAGAGAAGGCAGTAGGTGACAAGACCAGGAGGAGATGGTTAGCATGATAATGTCTGGTTCCCTGCTGTGTTCTGCTTCAGCTGGGACCTCTCTAGTTCTAGAACACCCCAGAGTAGCTTGCTAATGCTCCAGCTCTAGCTTGTGCAGCTCAGGATCCTTGAAAATGTATTTATTCTAAATACCTGGGTACAGGTAAAGGTTCCTGAATTGTTTCTCCTTTGAATATGTTGTCTGGTCATTTTCAAAAGCAAAAATTTCAAGAAGGCCTCTGGACTTCAGACAAATGAGCTCCCTTCCAGAACTGAAGCTTTCCAGCAGAAGTGGAGGAATCTGGGTAGTCTTGCGTTGAGCATACTAGGGATTCAGGACAGGGTAGGTTTCGTTGTCCCGGAGTAGGGCAAGGGAATGGATAACCACATTTCCAAATATTTTTAGGCTTTATTTTTTTCCAGCGTACTGTCTCAGGAAAGGACAGAAATAGTCCTCCTATAAAATTTGTCTATGCTGTTTGCTGAAATGCTCATTTTTTCCTGGTACTGCTCTGTTTATGCAGCTCCTAGTCTTTAAGTGTCACAGTCACTTAAGCAGTGGCTTGAATGCCATCGTGGTCCCTTGAGATGCTGGCCTCCCCAGGCCCTAACCACAACCTTCCCTCTAATCGCCTTTTCCCAGGCCATGGTATAGCTAGTTGCTATGTCAATTAAATACTGAAATATTTGTTAATGTAAAATATGAAAAAAAAAGAATAAATGGGTTAACAAGCTGATGCAATAGAAAGCCCTGCACATGAAACAAGCACATGCATGGCGCTTGTGTGCTGTTCCAGAACAGATGAGAACCAGACAATTGAAGTTGTCCCAGAAAAAAAGGTCATGTGGAACCAGAAATAACCACCTCCTGCTGCTCCCTGACACCCTCCTTTTGTGTGTTAGAACCTGAAAATCCTGCCTTTGCTGAAGGAGGAACTTGGAATCTCTCAGTTACCTTTACTGAAGGAGCTTTCCCAAAGCTGATGCCTTCATTCTCCTTTCTACTCCTTATGTTCAGTGGTAGCATTTGCTTTATGAACGTGAGATTCACGTCTTAGAATCATAGAATCTTAAGCTTGTATGTTTTCTCCTGGACTCACCCTCTCAAAAGTAGCTCTGGTTTCCATAAATATGGAGTGTGCAGTCCTGACTTGGATCTTCACCATGCCAGTCTGAAGGTGGGGGTTGAGCTGGGGCTGGGAGAGGGAAATGTCTGGAGGCTTGGGCTGAGGGTGGGAATGATCAGCCACGGAACACTGACCTTGCCGGTGAGGCAACAGTGAGGAATGCTGAAAGGGTTTCAGCACAGTACAGATGTCATTAGGGGGTCAGGGCTGAATGAAGGTGTCCTAAACAGCAGGGAGTAAGGTATGAGCGCTCTGAAGCACACAAAAAAAATCGAAAGGGAGCTGAAGTGCTACATGAGTGCTGTGGAGTACAAGAATGGACTCAGAAGACATCGTTACAGAGAGCAGAGGAATTGGGAAGGGCAGGGCAAGAAAAGGCCTGGAGACACATCGAGGGCCTTGGAGTCACAGAAGGCATCTAGGCAAGCTACAGCTGCCTGAGAGAGGAACCGAACGGAGGCGGCCTCGATGGCAGAGGTGACTTAGGGGACGGGCTGGTGTAAGGAACGGGCAAGCAGGCTGGCGCCACAGGGCCCAGGAGGCAGCGCTGGAACCACAGCTCCCCCCCTACCACAGAGTGCAACGGAGCCAAGCTAACGCCCCGCGGGCAAACAGCTACGGGGGCACGTCAAAGTATGAGAAAATGACGGGTCCCGGCACCGGGAGCTTCGTGCGGACAGGCTGCGGCTCCCCGCCTGCCGCGCAGGCCAACATGGCGGACCGGAAGCC